ATGAAGAAAATGATGATGATGATGAAAATGATGATGATATAATAGGAAGAATTGAGAGTGACTAAGTGTGCATACATATAAAAGCATTAGGAAATGATGGTATTGCTTATCTGTTGACATAAGCGCAAAACGGCAATGTCTTTCCTATTTAGAGAATGCCTAAACGGATCTTTTTTGCATGCTCTTCACCTAAGCTGTACAGAATATATCAATACTTTTAATTTTCCTTTACTCAGATTGATTTCAATGCTAATTTCTCTATTATAAGTATCATGAAAAAGATGTAAATTGCCTATATTTGTATTAAATTATAGATTTCTTTAATTTGCATATCAATTAATTAGGAATTTTAAATAATATTTGTTTTGGCTGATCATGAGAAGATTATATAGAAAAATAAGAAGAGGCAGGGAGAGAGAATAGAGGGGGAGGAGAGGAGGTGATTAACTAAGACAAAACTTTGGTACTGAAAGAAGTAACATAATAGTTAGATTTTTACTAACTAGTACACTTATAACAAAGTATATAAGTATTTGCTATGTCAATTAATTTACCGTTTCTAATTAATTAATTTCCCGGATGATATTACATGCAAGCTGTTTTTTCCTGCTTATTGAACTTTTTTTTTTAAAAATAAAACTATTGTTGTTATATTCCAAATTGAAATTAAATTATCAGTTTATGAAGAAATCATATTATTATTATTATTATTAAAGATATAAACTACTAATTAATATAATACATTCTGATTATAGGATATTATGTTACAATACAGGTTTTTATGCATAATCATATGGTACTCTTTGTTGAATGCACAAACCGAAATTCCGGTTCAGATAGTAAAGTTATTAGACAAAAAGTCGTATGTTGAATACAAATTTATTGAATGGAATTATGCAGGTTTGGATTTTCATGAAATTTGCGTAAGCAAAAAATATCGATTCAATTTCAATTAAATTTTGTAAAATAATTGAGCGTAAAAAAGCAAATTTCTAGATGCAAAATTTTTAGTTAGATGTAGGAATTTTCAATTTTTATCAAATTAATTAAATTATTTTAATTGGTGGAAAATGATAGGAGGAAAATAGCTTGTAAATATAAATATTTGGATTTTTTTAATTAAGTAAAATTATTGAAATATATAGATAGGTATACATATTTCTGGATATACTAGAATAACTATAATTTGCTTTATCATAATAAAATGTAGAGATTAAATTTTCTGAAATTCGTTGAAATTTTTTTAAAATATACTTTTGAAATCAATAATCTTCAATTAATGGATAATTTGAAGTTGATGGACCACAATTGACCTTACCAATACGATTCCGTACTCGTTCAATCGATGGACGTCTGATAACATTATCTGCACGAGGAATTGAAGACAACATATTCATTGTACGTAACAACAATTTATTTTCTTTTCCTTTTTGTATCTTTCATATCATATTATATTACATCATATCGTTTCAACTTCTTTATCTTTTAGTTTATTGTTTTAAAATTTACAATGATAAGGTTTATCTAATAGACAATAATAATAATACCTGTTGCATAACTGTAATCGCATTATATCTAATATCACTGAAAGAAGATGGAAGCTTTTTTTTCGAGTGATGAAATTTTAAAAAATTTTCTTTAAATTAAGCGTGGATAAATTTGCATCATATTTACCAATCCAATTTCTTTCATTACTATATCAGTGAATTTGAAATGATATCAATACATAATTCAAAATATTTCGTATAAAAAACTACAAATTATTTGGACTGCAAAATGATAGCGAAAGAATGTGGGAACTAAATTAGATGTATAGTTTTAAAAGTATATATTATAACGCTTTCATTTATTTAATTCCGAGAATAACTCCAATTAATTCAATATAATATTTTTGGTAATGATAAAAAGTTTTTTGCAATGAATTAAATGGAAGCGATAAAATGTTGACAGTCTCGCATTGTTCGCTTATCTGCATAATGAAGTAATTGCATGTATCTTTAGGTGAGGAAAAATTTCCGGATAATTAATTTATTGACTGATATTTTTTCCAGCTTTCTGCATTTATTGACAATGCAGCGGTTGTCGTTGATTTGATCGATGGACAGCGAAAAATTATCAGAAAAACGAAGAAACAGTTACTCGGTTTGATTACTAATCAGAATTATTTTTTGTGACTTCCTGAAACCATAACTTTAGGCACCACAATTCTGGAATTAAAGCATTAGTATTTCCGGAAATTAGCAAAAAAAAGTTACCTATTCTTATATATTTAATTTTAAAATAAAATCATATATTTTTAGATAATGTAAAAAAATGAAAAAATGAAATTTTAGGTGTTAATAATGGCATGGAATATTCGATGTCAATTCAATTAAATTTGGGAAGAAAAATGTTAAAAATGATTTACGGTGAAGGAGCGGTGGATTCATATGATTTCACTAATCATATCAAAGTTGAAAATCGTATGCAACTTGCTATTACAATTGGAAGTGACAGTATGCTTTTCTCTTTTCAATTATATTTGAATGAAGTTTACGAAAAAAAAAGCAAATTTTCTGTGATTGTTTAAGGGAAACTTTTAGTTTGTAATTGTGCTTTGTGCTACTTTATCATCTTTTCTCGTTGTCACTATCATTATCATTATTATCATTATTGTTGCTATTGTTATTGCCATTTCTATAAGTATGATAATTGTAGTACATCGTAATTTTCACAGTTATCATAATTAGCATAACCGTGATAGTGGCTAAAATATTCTGAAAAGCAAGAAATTAATTTGAAAAATTTAATTTGTAGAAGGATTAAATAGTGTAATTGGTTGTGTTACAATCGTCGGTTTAACGATTGGTAATCGTTTTGTATTCGAATTGAAAGAAAAGAAACGTTCTGAGAATGTTAAAAGTGATTGCGAAATGCTCTGCACAAAACAACAATGCAATAAGGTTTAATTTTTTTTTTTATCAAAATTTTGTCAAATTGATATGTTTATAATTTAACGTTTTATTACTTTTCACGTTATATCGATATATCGATTTTTCACATACTATATACGTGTTATACATATATTGTTATTGAGAGAACATTGAAAGATTATTCAGATTAATCGATGCTCTTAATTTGCATAATTTATCGTAACTTTTCTGTGATCTTTTTAAGTTCAACAAATTAGTATCGCATAGGGAGTAAATTAGGAGTAAATTAGATAGAAACTTAATATAATTATTTATTATCCTTTAAGGTAAGCATACTAATTGATTTATCGATTTTTTCATTTTCTTTCAAGTAAAAAATTTCAGGGTAGCTGCATTGATTTATTCCATACAGCTGTATGCAATTGCCGTGGAACTTATCAGTCGGGAGAACAATGTGATGAAGGTTTGTTGAAGTTATTCAAATTTTTCAATTATTTAAATAAATTTTATCTTTTATGTGTCTTTAATTTTATTTATTTTATTCTCGCTTTTTTGTTGAAATTATGAAAAAAAAACTCTTCTTTTAGCGGTGAAAACACTGAATGTGTCTTGGGACCAATATATCTCCTATAAAATTGATGATGATGAATCACAACCAACTATCATATCGATTGATTTTAAGGTAAAATTAAAATGAGCAAAACAAAAAGAAAAATAGCGACGACAAATTTTCTTTTTTTGAAGGAATAATTGATGAAAGCTAAATATACAACATTTTGGTTAAGGATGATAACAATAATAGTATTAATAATAACGATTACTAATAATACTAATAATAATAAATAATTAATAATAATAATAATAATA